CCAAGATACTAGCTTTTTTTTTCAAACTAAAAATTAAAATAAAATAAAATAGAAAATTGGCTTAAATATTTTAACTACGTGGGGGTGGGCACAGATGTAACATTTGTACCTGGAAAGAGCATAGGTATTGATTTCTGGGCCCACCCACAAATGCTAAATTGCAGTTTCCACTCTACTCCAACAAATTAACGGTCAATTTTATTTTTGCCTCCAAATTTAACTATGTATGTAAGAAAAAAAAAAAGCATATAACAATCTCAAGAACCCTAATATTTTTGTTTCAAAATCTATACGGTCATAACTACGCGATTATCCCATGGCTGCAACGACTTATAATGCGGTCATAACTACGCGATTATCGGGTGGGTGGCATCTTCTTAATGACATCGTTATCGTCGATAAAAAAGAAATTAAATAAAAAGAGCTAATTCTACGGGCGCGCGCCATTAAGAAATAAATGCGTTAACAAGTAGTTCCAACGTCGGTATTTATCATTAAGCAAAAAATATTAATCAATGGGGTGATGACACCGAAGGAACTATGCATGTGAGGTTATTAAGAGAGGTCAACTTAAAGATGTTAGTTATGGAAGGGTAATTTAGTAAATTCACAAGGAGGGGGGTTTTGGGGGGGTGGAATGAAGTTGGAGGTAGTTCGAGCATTGAAATAAAAATGAAGGGGGACTATATTAGATTGAGATACCATTAAAACCAAATAAATGCAAGAGTAATTGAGACAGTTGAGAATAATGAGGCTATTACGTCATATTGATAAATACAAATTCAATTCACACCCCTTTTATTTCTTATTTTTTCCTTATATTATTTTAATTTTTCAATCTTCATCTTCTACAATTTATATTTGTTTTTGCAATCAGCCTTAACTTCCTTTGTCACTAAATGATCCCCTCTATACTCCATGTTCTCCCATTCAATTCTATTTAATTTCTATATATATATATATATCTTGGCTCAAATTAAGTCACCTACGGTTCGGGTCGGATCTCAACTGGATCGGACCCGGGCCGCATTCAAGGAGTCGGTTATCGGGTCAACGATTTTTCAACTAGACAAGTGATCCGACCGTGTATATAATATAAGGGAGAAATACTATTAAGTTTTTAACATGTGAAAGAAATGTGAAAATTTTATGGATGAGAATGGGAGATTAGTACTAAGTTCAAAAATGTGAAAGAAATGGTGGTAATTAGATATGTGGCTAAGATATAAAAGAAAATGATGCCTAAAGTGTGTAATAATTATAACACTATTTTTTTCGCCTAAAAATGTGGTAATAGGTGGAACCCAAAATTAAGTTTAATTAACATAGATCTTATAATAGGTATTTACATATTAATGAAAAATATCCAATCCCGGAAAAAATACAATAAGGGTGGGACCGAGCTTATGAGATGCTACATCTGATTATCTACACTGTGTGATTTTTAATTAGTAATTTGGTTAGATGACCATTCATTGAGTACATATATAATGGGTACGATTATGTGCAGATTAACAGTTAAAATACATATGTATTTCACTAGATGCAGCATCAAATAAGCCGGTGGGACCCAATGAGAATGGCTTAAAAAAAATATGTTTCAAATGCTAAGTAAAAATAGATTTTTGACAATAAAGTAGCAATTGTACATGAACCATATGAGGTTTGTTTACCTGGTAAGAAGCATAACAACATCAAGAATGTCCTTTGGTCTTCTTCACAAATGATCACAAAAGTCAATCTCGTTGACCTAGCGGTTGGATCAAGAAAGCTTGTATCAAATGTTCCAAGTTCAAATTCCCTTGACAACAGTCGTTAGGTCGAATCAGTCACATATAGTTAGCCTAGTGTCATTTACGTTTCTCGTATAGCTTAGAAGCTATTATACGAGAGTGTAGGTTTACTCAATGCACCTATATGGTTGCCTGCGAGTTCTTTCATAAAACTTTCATTATATTGGTTCAACACATTTGGTATATCTTTCTTCCTAAATTTTCAATATACAACATAGAAACAAAATTAGAATCTTACAAAATTGCCGTTCGAATCGA